ATTACATGTTTATTAGTTAATCTTTTCAAATGCTAAGATTTGTACTCTAATCTTGTTTTGCAGTGCTATGCGGGTGCTGCTGTCCAAATTGCCACGGCCATGGATAGTGGATGAGAAAAAGGATGATGGTTACACTGCGCTTCACCTGGCCGCCCTCAACCAACCACGTGGAGGTGGCAGAGCTTCTAGTCCACCAGGTCAGCAGTTCTGACATGCACACGCACACATTGCACTATCCGAAGGGACCATCCTGGAGACCCTGTACTGTATCCTGCAGATTATGATTCAGGGGATAATTGATGCAGTTAATGCCATTAGAGGTGCAGAAGAGCTGAGAAAGTTCAGTTGTTACCCAGCTCTCATTGAAGTAGGTCAGTCATAATTAGGGATGCACCGATCACGATTTTCATGGCCGAATCAGATTGCCTTTTTTTTATAAGCAAATGGGCCGATTCTAATACAGGTTGCCCCATTTTTATTTTTGCTGTATTACAGCCTTAACTGGTCATAAACAAAATAATATCTGTAAACATTTCAAATTAGAAGCAGCCACTGCATTTTAACCATGATCCAAACAAAGATGCTATACACATGCAGCATAACCAGTTGTTGTTTTAATTATTGTATAATTTGTGATGATGAAAGTTCCTCAAGTTTTTAAAGTTGTTTATATGTCAATGTGGTGTTTTAGTATGCTTTAAGACAAACCATGTGCAAAGTCATAAGTCAAAACTAGGGGTGTAAATCGGAGCCTTAATGACGATTCGATAGAATACCGATTTCTTAGACCAACGATTTGATTATTTTTGATACTTCAGAATTTCCCACGATTCGATACTAGATATTTTTACATGATATCTATTAAGTTTAAAATAAATCAACAACAACAACAAAAAAAATTAGCCTTTTATTGAGAATAAAGAAACAGTATTTGTGGTGAGCAGGACGCGGCCGACATGAGAGAATAGCGCGAGCCATTTACACCACCGCCCTTGTGTCGTTCTCTCACGTCGGCCGCGTCCTGCTCGCCACAGTATTCTATTCACATAATGTGTATGCTACACTATAGCAGTCTTCTTTGCAAACGGCAACATCTCTTACCACTGCTCCATCTGTTTTCCTGAAGCCACAATACTTCCACACCCATGACTTGATGCTGACTGGAGTGTGTAACATTTCGCTTTCATTGCCAGCTCGCTCTGACGGTTCCATCGCTCTTGAAAGTCAGACTCAACAATGTGAATGTGTGTAAACATTAGGGCTGGGTAATAAATATCGATTTCTCGATATTAATCGATTCTCATTTTTACGAACCGATATCGATTCTTAAATCTCAAGAATCGATTAGTCATCCTGTTTCATTTGAATGAATGGAACATTGTATCGCGGCTGCGCGCATCCAAAAAATCGCAATAATCTTTGTCCTTTATTACTATTGATATGAAACAAAGTCTCAATTTTCAAATTACGTCCATTTTCTTTACAAATTCAAAAACATAAATAACGTTTTGCGCTGTGGCGTGAGATCGCTCTGGCGGAGCTCAAGAGGAGCAGCAGCGCTGATCTCACTTCCGGCTTAATAATACCAGTTACAGCGCGAAATAAACATGAATGAGCATCTGAATGTGTGTTAAAAGATAGAGTACAACTTATCGGAATCCGTATCATGTCACATTGATTCGCTCAATCAGCGTTTCAACCGTGGAAAGACGTCAGTTAAACAGCTTGTAATCAATGTCATGTATCGTCATATTTACCTCAGAAAACCCACATAAACTCGTTAGTTGGCAAGAAAAAATAACTCTAGAGAGGAGCATTTTGCTAAATATATACACTATATTACATATGCATTATAATCTTTTGTTCTTCAATATTTAATGCATATTTGAATAAATCTGGCAAGTTTTTATAACAGCCACCATTTAAAAGTTTATATTTCATATAATCTTATATTATAAAAATAAATAAAAGTCTAATTTAAGTGTTTGTATAGCTACAAAACTTAGATTATTACCTTCATATTAGGCTAATGTAGTCTATAGGCTACAACTAGACTCCCATAGTTTAAAGCATTAGTTAAGAGATTTGATTTCCTTGAGAAAAATTGCCATTTATTGTAACTGATATCCAAAATAATCAATATTGAATCGAATCGAAATCGAATCGAATTGCAAGCTTGTGAATCGAAATCGAATCGAATTGTGAAATTTGTGTCAATACCCAGCCCTAGTAAACATAGACTGTGAAACGCAAGTAACACGTGTGAAGCGGTGTGAAGTAGAAGACAATAATGAGGTTAGCGCCACCCGCAGCTTAGGAATAGGTTGTGCGCATGTCGGAGCTAATGCTGAAAATAGACGGGCGGCAAAATAAACACATTAATCAATACTCTTGTGGACGCATCGTTGCATCGAATCATCAGCTGTATAATCAATGCATCGATACGAATCGATTAATATTTACACCCCTAGTCAACACCAGTACTAAATATTTTCTCCTTAAAACTGCAGTGAACCAAAGAAAGTCTCAAAGATGCAGTTTGAAATCGCTGGTGTTCCTGACGTCACAACCTACATTGCTTAAACACAAACTACACAAACCAGGTCAACGTGTGGGTGGGCTTTAGCATATCATTAACTGCGAAGCAGGGGAGTCTCGAGAGATGTCAGGTCATTCCGCTATATTTTTCTGTTGATAAATCGTGTACATTTAGCATTATAGCGGCTGAATTTTGTAATGTATATTACGACGTTATGATGAACTTTGTCTGAGTTGTTCAAAGTGTTTCTAAGGATACTGATTTTTAGAAGGCAGACTGAGATTGCGAACAGGAACGTGTAAAATTAACAACGCATTATTAGCTGTTTGATAACATAGTCAAGCAAAAGGCTAATCGTATTAATTACCGTTATGTGTCTGACGTCGTAAAGAGCGATAACATTGGGCAGCCTTTACTACAGTAAAGTTGACCGAGTGAAACTCTGAGCTGGAGATCCGGGTATACTAAAGGAACCAAGGGTGTAGTGTTACATTGTAGCTATTTTACAGCATGAAGAAATTCTTTTCACAAGAGTTGTTTTTTAAATATGTCATTTTGGTGATCAAATATGAGTTTTAAGGGATACAATTATTGACTACAGGGGGACTTTAAAGCAAAATCAGTATGGTCTGACTTTAGCTTTGTGCAATTATGCTACATAAAACATACCTGCTCACTGAAAAAGTAAATTCACTCTCTGACAGAAGGTTGCGCTTACGCCGCCTTCACACTGGCAGTTGAAATCAGCTCCGATGCGGCTGCGAAACGACCGGAAGTCATTCATTTCCTATGGAGATTCGCAGACCGCATGCGAATGGGTCCGAAACGGGTCCGACCGAGTGCGGTGCGATGAAAATCGCGTCCGTTGGTCATCCGGATGCGTTCAAAAATTTGAACTCGTGCGAAAAGCTACGGACGGTTCCTATCCGACAATTTCAGCGGAAGTTGACCGTTGCTATGGTACTGATACACAAACCTGAATGATTAACTTTTAATAAAATAAATAATGATTTTATAACGATAAGTTGTGATGTCATTTTATAATTTTATGACTTTCTAACGTTTATAAGGGCAGTTAATACAATTAAATTGAAGGTAGACATTGAACTATTGACCACTATATCACATTTTTATTCGACCTGACATGTCAACGTCCTGAGCAACTTTCCTCACGCAGCATAGCCCTCATCAGAGAGATCATACAGAACTGACACAATCAAACTTTAATCTCTCTGCAGTTTTTGTTCTACTCAACTCAACTCAACTTTATTTATAGAGCACTTTCAAGACCACAAGTGGAACCAAAGTGCTGTACAAAATGAATAAAATAGAAAGTAAAATAAAGAAATAAAAAACAATACAAACACATGACATAAAAAAAAAAACAAACCCGCGTCCGACGCTTTTCACTGTGTAGTACGACGTCCGTTGGGAACGTATTGCGTATTACGGAGCTGATTTAAACTGCCAGTGTGAAGGCGGCGTTAGAGTTACCGCGGTAAACGAAAGCAGCAGCACTTATAAACACTTCTTTAATGGGCAATGGCATTACACAGAATTTTCCTGAAGCCAGTAGTTCAGAAGACAGGTATTATTCATATAAACCTCCTCCCCCAATTCAATATTTATATTTTTCTTTCCAATTTTCCAATTTTGAGCAGCACAAACTTGCTGGTGCAGTATCTGTGCTCTCCTCTTTGCATCGGTCTTCAGCGTATCCCATCTCTGGCCTGTTAACGTCCCGTTACAGACCTCGTAATACTTCCACACAAATGACATTTTGGCCTTTTATTGCAATGCAGTTTGTGTCTGAAATTGAGATCGGCCAATTGAGAAGCCATTTGCCGATCATGTTTGTTACAAAGACCGTCCGGCTCTGATTTATGGCTGGTCGACCAGTGCACCTCTTGTCATAATGACTCTTAAAAAACAGAAGTTATGATACTCTTTTTGAGGTATGTCCGAGTAAAACAGCATCTCGAAAAAGAAAAAAAAAATGTAGGCTTGGACTTGATTTTGTCCAACGGAAATGGATTGTTGGATCGTTGCCATTTCCATTAGCTATGATCTCATGCGAGTGGCTGGTTTCCCTTTAAAACCGTTTCAAATCTTTGCAAGCTCAGATTCATCAGATGTAATTATGAAGTTATTAATGACAAAAAATGAATGCTAATTAAATTCTTGAATTGAAGAACACTGGTCTCCAGTTGACCTGTCCCTAAACTTGCAGGATTCTCCAGGTTTCTCCATAGCTCCTCACCTCCTACGCCACAGTGCAGAGTGAAACTGTGGCTCAGTGTTGTGTTAACAACGTTATTGCAACATTCCAGCAGTGTTATGAGACTGCTGTGCTGGCTCAGTGCAGCCCTTTGTCAACTACCTGCCATGAGGGAAGAGAGGGAGAGACAAAGAAAAGGTTCACACCAGTGACTTAAGCCTCAGCCTGCGAACCACACTGCACTGCAGTAATGCAGAGAGATGCTGCTATGGGGTTCAGTCAGGGAATATCTGAATACAAATCACCATTAGCTCACATTTCTAAACACAACCTATGGGACTCGAAGGCTTGCTCATGAGGAGCGATTTGTCTTCAGTGGATGAGAAGTGAAACGGAAACTGACTGTTATTGAACATTGGAAAAACAGTGGAATGTAAATAATCAAATACACACAATCACTTTGTTTTGCTCTTATCTTCTAGCATCTATATAAATGCTTATATCATAGTTGTTCAAGTTATATTTCTCAGAGGTCAACCGATTGATTTGCTCTTTCTCTCTCCATAGGGAAATGCTAATTTGGACGTACAGAACGTTAACCAGCAGACGGCATTGCACCTTGCGGTCGAGCGTCAGCACACCCAGATAGTGCGAGTAAGTGGCTCTGTCTTCCTCCTGTTCTGTTCTCTTCATTCCCCTTCAATGTTTGATGTCTACACCCCTCACCCAGCGATCTGGCGTCCCACTCAACACAAACGCATTGATGAAGCAATGTAGCTAAGTGCCCCGGGTTAAGATTTAAATGCAGGGAGTTCTGCTGCAGATTTATCCCTTCATTTAGTCCTGAGCAATCTGGACTACGCCAGGAGAGGTATGAGGAGCGGGGGTGGTGAAGGAGGAATCAATAGAATCGAAAGCGCCATCGTGTGGTCGTATAAGAGCAGTGCAACTCTCCTCTTTTCAAAACGTCTGTCTCAAAACGTCTCAAACATTACACTTTTTTCAATTTGAAGCCTTTGTTTTTGACACCTGTGCCTCCGATGTCATTCGTCAGCATCGATTAACATGAGCATAATTTAAATCTACTATGACTGAGAACACACTGGTAACATTTAGTCTCGGTGTTTGTGTCCAGCTCTTGGTGCGAGCCGAGGCGAAGTTAGACGTGCAAGACAAGGACGGAGACACGCCGCTGCACGAGGCCCTGCGTCACCACACTCTGTCCCAGCTGCGACAACTTCAGGACATGCAGGACGTCAGCAAAGTGGAACCCTGGGAGCCTTCCAAAAACACAGTATGTACATAGAACTATATAAACTATGCAGGTGTTCTCATTAAAAGCTTCAGATTAACAGAACGTGATGTAGCACACATTTTCAGTTGTTTTGAATTGATCCACAATAAATAATTGGAATTTTAAATGAATTATGTTAATTAAATCATACACATTTTAAAGATTTCTTATATTGGGCCATATAAGAATTAAAAAAATTATCTGTTCCATTTCAAAATGTAATAGTTAAATTCAATTTTAGTCATCAAAAAGCAGGTTGAATTAATTGCAATGATAAAAAGTAGACATTTTTACACTTAATTTTCACAAAAATTATATTTTTAGGGCCCTATGATGTGCAGAACATACAGACTTCATATTTAAACAGCAGGGTTTTTTTACACTTCAATATTCATACACACTAGTCCATATCATGATTAGATTAAGTATACAGATATAGCATTATATTTTTTCATTATAGGCATTCTGGCAATATACTTTTAATTCCAGTTTTATGATTGGATTTTGCAAATCTGTAATCATTTTCTGCATGGCTAAAATCATGCATCTCAGAGGCTTATAAAACACAAATGTGCACTTTACCAATGTGGTGCCTGTGCAAATTCACACAGGGGCCTTCAGATATGTTTAATAGTCAAGGACAAAATGAACAATTGTAGCATCTTAAAAAAACAACAACAAAAAAACAGCACCATAAACCATTCGAACACAATTTACTTGGTAATGCAAGTATGACCAGAGGTACCATATCCAAAATCACCTTAAACCACAATTTCCAAATGTGGAAAGCTATTTTCACACCATCCAAACTAACTGAATGCTTACATCAAGACTCGGGTCTCAGTACTAAACACTGAGGCAGTGTAGATACTCTCAGGCTTTTCCCTGTGTTAACAATGATAGATCGCACTCTGCTATAAGAACCATTTCCCTGCTGTCACATGAGTTACTGGCCCAATGAGCCACAGTTCCACTGCAGTCCGACGTCCTGTACACCACACGATCCTTCAGGTGAGACGTTTTCCCCTGATTATCCCTTCCCCTTCTGTGGGATTGCATATATTTGTGTGAAATTGAGTGGGTGGAGAGGAAGCCGAAAGAAGACAGCTTTAGGAGACAGCACTCTCTGTAATACGTTGGCACAACGATGGCAATCTAATTACCAAGCCAATGGGCTCTATCAGGGCCGATTTAAAATGCAATGAATACTGTGGTTTCAGGTAAATTGTCCTAAATGTGACAGTATAAAGAGTAAGCACTTCATCCAGACCATCAGTGAGCGAAACCTACCATGTCTTGACATGATGTCACACTGTCAGCTGACAACTCATTACAGCTTTCCTGCTCATGCAGTTATATTTAATGGTGTGCAGGTTTTGATACACTGCCCTTAAATGGGGTAGTTCATCTGTAAATGAAAATTGTCAGTTACTTGGCAATTACCTGAAAAGGTTTTAAAAGAACAGTTAGTTCACAAATTTGTACCAATAAATTGAAAATGTTTTCAAAGACCAGTTAGTTCACAAATTTGATGGTTTTAGTGAATAATTACTTAAATTTCTGTCTATTCTTCACACACAGATATTGTATGACTTAATACGACTAGCAATTTAGTGAACAATTTGGGCCCTATCATACACTCATTTCAATTCAGCACCAAGTACAATGCAAGTGTTTTTTGCTAGTTTCAGCCTGACGCAGTTATCATTTTCACATCTTGCGCCACGTTGTTTAAAGCAAATGCATTTGCGCCCATGGGCGTTCTGGTCTGAAAACGAGGTGTGTTCAGGCGCATTGCTATTTTGAGGCAACTGAAATAGACCAACTGAAACCTGGTCTAAAGTCAATGGCGCAATATATTTTTTGTTATTTTAAAGGGCGCTTTAGTAAAATGCACCTATAGGCCTAAACGCTAGGGGTGGGAATCTCGAGGCACCTCACTATTCGATTCGATTATGATTCAGAGGGCTGCGATTCGATGCCAAGGCGGTTATCGATTATCTGAATCTTTTTTTGTGTGTGTGTGTGTGTGTGACGAAAAATTCTTTGCTTTAAATTTACAAAGTAATGACCCATAAAGAATTAACGTAAAATATATTTTATTAACATTAAAAGAACCAACAGGAAAATAAATGTGTGCCTGAACTAGCAGCATACTTGTAGTAAATTAATAATATAACAATGACCGGTACAGCCGAGTGTTTTTCCTCCTTGGCTGGAAATCTTATTTGTCGTGTTTCTGAAATATTTTAGTTTTATTCTACAAAGCTTACAACTAGTGTGGCTCTTGTCCAGCTCCTTTCCCCCTTCAACTTCAGAAGCCAAAATATTTCCACACGTCAGCTTTTAACGAGGATGTTTGCATTTCACGCTCAGCCATCCCGTCTCTGTTATGTGCACGCCACAGACCGTCCGGCCACTGCACTTCCGCGCTTCAGAGTTCCATTTTTCGCGTTCTGTCAATTTTATGTTATAATAAATGTATATAAAAAATGTTTTTTTTTTTTTGTTTTGTTTGAAAATCGTTTATTGACATTTGTGAATGGATACAGAATCGTCCACGTCCCCATCGCGATGCATCTAAAAATCTATTTTTTCCCCCACCCTTACTAAACGCATGTGCAGTTTGTCCCGTAGATGGTCTGCTTGCTCGCTTTAACCTCGCGCACAAGCAGATCCGTGTCCTCGCTTTCAGTTTTTCCACCTGCACATTACACCCAAAACCGAAGAGTTTAGGGACAACCCTTTAAGACCATGCGCCGGGTGCGCAGACCATTTTTCCCATTGTAAAAATGGATTCGGACTTAGTTTTTGGTTAGATTCGGACTTAGATTTAGTTTTTGGCTGTTTATTTTGGTAGACACAAAAACAGTCTTATTTGGTACAGCCGATAGATCACATCACAACTGATCTGCATGTTTTCTTTTGAGTGCTGCTGCTGTTAGGCTTTAATTCTCCCATTGATTCTCAGGCATCACACAGCATTTATCGGTGACCTCCCATCCCGCAGCGTTTCTTTATCTTCATTAACACATTATGCTATCAATACACACTGGATCGACTGTCAGAAAGTCCAACCATAACGTCTGACACCAGACAGACTGACGATGCCGGTCCCGTGCACCCTATCTGTTACAGCCTTTGTAGTTCTTCTTACGGCTGACCCCAGCCCCGCCAGTTCACATCATCGCCACCCCCACGGCTGTCGTAAATCAAGCGTTGTGTGACAGGAGGCTGCTTCCAGGCCAGCAGTCTGCCATTTATTAACACAAACAGTGTGACAAATCTCTCTCCCTATCAAACCATCACACTTACCGCATGCAGCAGATGGAGAGTCGAGCCATCCATTTAAAACACTCCACCGAGGCCATCAGTATGCAGAAGTCTGCCCACTTTCATCTCAATATGGTCCATAGCTTTTCATCACTTCAGTTGAATCTGTTAAACCAACATTACATCATGGACTTGAGTGGGGCTCTTGTGTTTTTTTTTAAGCAAAAGTCAATTACTAATCTTTTATGCCGTTTAAGACGAGCATCGCTGAGAGTTTTGCTTATGTTGCTTAAAGGGGAAATGAAGCAGTGAATCAAGTTTACATGATTTACAAGATGGATTTCCAATATAATCAACAATTATATAAGGAACATTACAAATGTAAACATTTAGAAGAAAAAAAGAAAAAACTTTGTATCTTTCGCCGCCAGGGCGCCGCCATTGTGCAGTTGACGTCACGGGGTTGGTTGGCTCAAGTTTAACAGGCTCTGGGCATTGAAAATCGCGACATCAAACTGTGTTTATACCAGTGTTTTGACCGCGAACGACTAATGTTAGGTACAGTCATTAGACTAAAAGACGACTTCTCATGTTATATGTTGACAAACTGCACATAGAAACATTGTTTGCGATGTCTGCCGTCAGATATTCCCGTCTCGTCAATAACATGTAAGTTAGCACGTATTTGTTAAAGGGGAAATGAAACGTCCATATTTTCGCACTGGTAGTGCTAGTAACGTTAGCTACAGCCTACATATACTAGGAAAAAGTGTCTCCGCTCTGACATCCCTCAGGGAAAGCATCGCCGCTTCCACACGTCTAACTCCCGGCACAGCATGGTAAACGTGCGCGCCGGTGATGCAGAATTGACCACGTAACACATGCTCAAGATCAACCTCTTGACAGCAGATGGACTTTGACACGGAGGGCATCGCAGGACAACAGCCACACTGACACCTGGTAAGTTAGCGTTGCAAACCCGCTCTTCGCCCCAAACCACCACCGGCTGTTCTACACAGCAACGTAACTTACATGGTGTTGACGAGACGGGAATATCTGACGGCAGACATCGCGAACAATGTTTCTATGTGCAGTTTGTCAACATATAACATGAGACGTCGTCTTTTTGTCTAATAACTGTACCTAACTTTAGTCGTTCGCGGTCAAAACACTGGTATAAACACAGTTTGATGTCGCAATTTTAAATGCCCAGAGCCTGTTAAACTTGAGCCAACCAACCCCGTGACGTCACCTGCACAATGGCGGCGCCCTGGCGGCGAAAGATACAAAGTTTTTTTTCTTTTTTTCTTCTAAATGTTTACATTTGTAATGTTCCTTATATAATTGTTGATTATATTGGAAATCCATCTTGTAAATCATGTAAACTTGATTCACCGCTTCATTTCCCCTTTAACAGTGATGTCAGTTTAGTGATTTTTTTTTTTTCACCTGGTGAATGATAAAATTGACAATCTTCCAATAAAGAAGGAACCCGAACCTATATCTAGAAACTTGGGTGTTTGATAAGAGTTTCATCGCTAAAGAAAGAAAGGAAAAAAGCCCAGAACAGCTTGCTGTTGCCACTCCCACAACATAACATTTCATTAAAAACTCTTATTTAATGCACTGAATGTCTACTGATCATGTGTTCTTCTCTGGTATTAGGACAAATGCTCAACTTTGTTTGCCTAAGAAAATCGTCTTCAATTATTCATCCTTATTTCGTTTCAAACCCATCAGACTTTTATCTATCTTTGAAACACAAATGGAAGATATTTTTAATGAAACCTGAGCTCTATTGAAAGTCCACTCAACCAAAACTTCATAAAGACTTAGTAAATGTAACCGTATGAATTGAACTGTTTAATCCAGGCCTTCCTCTTTTGAGTTCGAATGCTTAAACATGTCTGTTTGACAAGCTTGTCTGAGGTTGTTCTTGCACGTCAAAGCAAGTATGGTTTAGCTTCCGTTTATCATATTCTGTGTGACTGTGTGTTGACCAATGTTTAAAGGGGTCATGAACTGGCTTTTTAAATGTTATTATATTGTTGTCTGAGGTCAACTTATGACGTTCGCTTGGTTTTTACATTAAAAAACATCAAAATGAATAAGTAATAGGCTATTTCCTACCCTAGTTTTGAGCCCAGCTCAGAAACGCTCGGTTTTTATGGGCATCTCGCATTGAAGACTTGGAAGTAAACACCCACTGCTGTGAGTGGAGAACAGTTTTGCATATTATGAGTTTCACTCTCGATCCGGTTTGTCATCACGAGGTAGGCATCTATGTTATTTAGCTATGCGTGTAATGCGCGAATCGGTGGGCTGGGCTAAACCGGCCGTGTTGAAGTAGGCGTTGATCTTCTGCAGGGGTGGTGTTTTATCCTCTTTGACGTCATAGTTCCCCACTTTGAAAAATGGGGCTGGTGTCAATAAAAGCTTTCATTGGACTAACAAGGACGTTTTCAGTTCTGAAACTTACAGGATATTCTTATAATATGATGACCTCTTAGATATCAAAAGCTCAAGGAAAATTTGATTTCTTTAATGATCTAAATTAGATCTGTTCATCATATAAAGCGATTCTCCTTCTTCAGAAGACTTGGATTACACCACTCAATTCATACAGATTGTGGCTACTAGCAACTTTTACTAACTTTTTGAAGCTTCCAGGTTTGGGTTCCATTGGCTTGCAGTAGAGGAACTGAAATCTCTCAGGTTTCATTAAAAATGAAGGGAAGATGAACAGAAGTCTTATAGTTTTGGAACGACATGATGGAGAGTAAATTAGGAGGCCTAATGGTAAGAGAGTCAAACTGGTAACCTGAAGGTTGTGGCTTTGAATCTCAATACCAGCAGGAAATGACTGAGGTGCCCTTTGAGTAAGGCAACTAACCTCCAATGTGCTCCTAAGTATGTGTGTGTGTGTTTACTGCTCTTAATGTGTGTGCACTAACTTGGATGGGTTAAATGAAGAGGACAAGGTCACGTCATGTCTCCTAGTTTTTAGTTTGTTACAATTTTCATTTTTGAGTCTACTATTCCTTTAAATGATTTAGATAAGTGCTGAAAGGAACACGTTGTCTCTGCACTGTTCTCATTTCAACAGCGCAGTGTAATTATTCAAACTTCATGAGTAATTGTGAGATTCTCTAACCTATATTAATACATAGTGTTTGACACTGTGGTTGCATCTTCACAGTTGATCATGGGACTGGGCACTCAGGGGGCTGAGAAGAAGAGCGCAGCTTCTATCGCTTGTTTTTTGGCGGCCAACGGAGCTGACCTCACCATCCGAAACAAGAAGGGCCAGTCTCCTCTGGACCTGTGCCCTGACCCCAGCCTCTGCAAGGCCCTAGCTAAATGCCACAAAGAGAAGACCAGGTATGAACGTCCGTCCCCAACCTGTAGCTTAGTTGAATTTGGCTCCCGGGTTTTCTCCATCTCCACTTTATGTATTTGTATCTCAATCAATATTTTGTTCTCTCTCCCACTTACTCTTTTGCTCTCAGTGGGCAGGTTGGTTCCCGCAGCCCGTCTCTAAACAGTAATAACGAGACTCTCGAGGAATGCATGGTGTGCTCGGATATGAAAAGGGACACGCTTTTTGGCCCCTGCGGTCATATCGCCACATGCTCTCTCTGCTCGCCTCGTGTCAAGAAGTGTCTTATTTGCAAAGAACAGGTCCAGTCTAGAACCAAGGTATAGAAATCTTCCTCACAACTTTCCTTCTTTTGTCCACGCACGTGTTCTTCACTATGTGCCATAGTGAAGATGTGTTTTCTTTTTCTTCACCCACAGATTGAGGAGTGTGTGGTTTGCTCTGATAAAAAGGCAGCCGTCCTCTTCCAGCCCTGCGGTCACATGTGCGCTTGTGAGAGTAAGTCAGCTTTCTCTCTCTCCTCCCACACCACAACACTTCTTTAAAAAAGCTTGTTCTGTCATCTGACTTGTCAGAACGTCACGTCACACATAACATGACTATGATACAGATAAAGGCATCTAGGTGTGCACACACGGGATGAGCGTAAGTTATGGGTGAATATGGAGTCATTTTTCACTCCATAATCAGAAGAAAATTAGCATTTTAGGACCATTTTATTAAATGTGACAATATTTGATGGCATATAACCACAGTTCCACCCAAAATTACCATTATTGTAATGCTGTTATATTCAGTTATTTATTTATTTTTAAGTAAAATGTCTGCATTACAGTAATGACAGCTTGGGGTCTCTCTCAATACATCTCTCCTACCTGATCCCCTGAGTTTAATTCTCTCTAAATACCTTCGTCACATGTCAGCTACACCTTCCTTTTCAGTTTGGCTTTATTGCCGCTAATGTTGCAGGCTTTCGTTCAATGGGCTTTTACTTTACTTTCTGAAGGTTAACAAGCTAGTTTAATCTTGTAAAGCCTGACATGAAAATGTAATAATGGCCAGAAATCTATGTTTTGAAGTGGAACAGTTTTTAGAAAAAGAAAAAAAAAGTTTTCAAAAGTGTGTGTGTGTTGTTTTTTTTTAATTCATCAAGCTTTTATGACTATAATAAGGAGAATATGGACGTAAAAAAAAAAAACCAACATAAATTTTCAGTTTTATTATCACTAAGACTGACAATCTTGTGTTTTTCAGCTGTCTTTCAGTTGTTTTAAATCGCTAGGACACATTTCTCAATACTTGGGTCACTTTTTCGAAACTCTTCACACAGTTCTCCTAAACAATTTTCATCTTCGCACAGCAGTTCATTTCACATTCAAAATTCACTAAATCAATCAAAACACTTCATTCATGTCTCAAATCAGTTCCCTCTCCCAGAACACTAGCAAAGGTTTTCGCCCAACACAGGTTTGTCACTCATAAAACAACAACCTAAAAACATTAACAACAGGAACATTATACAATGTTTTCTTTTGTAAAGTTTCTTTACAAAACCATTATGAAATGAATTATCTATTGTTTATATAATTCACTGCACATGTTTCCATTAGTGTACAAAATTATTCCCAAGTTTCCCCTTTTGAATGGATGGTTATGAATTTGAATTTGTCCTAACTACACGCGACGCGATAAAATTCCAGCGACAGCAAGAGTGCGACGCGACTAATCAAAAATCACAGCCATTCAGAACAGTGTGAAAGCGCACTGCTGGCCCACACTCGCATTGGAAATGGGTAAGGACATAATCAAATCAAGAAATAACATTATTAAAAATCAAAACATTAACAAAATATACTCATTGACTAATTTTGTTATGATGTACAGTAGGCTTGCTACGGTAGTCAGTGTTACCGGTGTTCAGTCGCAACACCGGTTTCATGACATGCCCACCGCGGCAAAAAAAAAAAAGTTGAAAGCCTTGAACGCAATTATGCTGTAGTCGTTAAATCCTGCCTATTAACACACACACGACCCACAGAAAAGATGCGCGTCGGTATCGAGTTCTCTTGAACAAACCATAACGCACAAATTATACCAAAATGTCCATAAGAGCAGTCTTAAACAAACGTAGAGATTTGTAAGAAAATGGGACGCGCGTCAGATCGCGTCTCTCTGTCAGCAACGGCTGTCCGAATTCGCCCACTCGTTTTTACTTACTCCTTCTCATTCACTCCTTCAAGTGAACAGTAATAGTGGACTAATCGGGAATATGCCTAGTAAATGAGGGTTTAGGGGGCGATTTCGGATTCAGCCCATGTTCTCAAGCAGTGAAAAATAGAGGACACTGACAACGCGTTGACAGACAGGACCGAGCAGGTAATATTTAATATGAAACAGTCTCAACTTTCTGATTTGGTCAGTCAAAGAAAATCAAACTATAAATAGGCCTAACGTTTTGTGGCTCTTTAATGTGTCGTGACAGCTTGCCTGATAAAGCCAAGTTCCACCAACGTTAATCTATAACTCTCCTGACTGCTTTGTCGGACAAAAATGGTGGATTTTCAGATGGTCAGATCACATGCATGTCAATCAAAAGTTAGTTTCGTTTTCAAACAAGCGCATATTCAGGGCACAATAACAAAACAGTTCTTTCCCGCACTACCACACCGTTATATGCCCATGAAAACGTGCAAATTTTACATTTGATTTTAAATTAGCGATTTAAAAGCCCCCGCCGGTGACACCGGTATTACTGGTGTTGTCACGTGTCAAATACCGGTGAGAAAAATATCCTCACCGTCACAACCCTAATGTACAGTTGTATGTTTGCATAGAATTCATTTTGAACGCTATATTATATGCTTTCAAAATCTGAGGTAAATTATCCGTTATCGCTTGTGGCACAGTGACCTATTTTTAACTAAAAATGAATAATGTGTAGTCATAACCAGTGTAATTTCTTCATTCTGTCAGCCGCGACGTCGCAGAAATAGGAACCGTTTCTAAATTAGAAACTTAGCGTGTCGCCGTCGCGTCTGGTTTGGACAAAAACTCTGATTAACATGGAAAAGATGTCATTTATCGCGTGTCGCGGCGTCGCGTCGCGGATAGTTAGGACACGGTGTAACATCTGTGTACAGTTTTTAGATCTATTTTTAATATGGTATTACTGTAGAAATGTAGCAAATGGCTGTCTTATTCAGTTTTGTATTATGTTGGGTTTTAAAACATTTTTCAAAGGTATTCAATCGTGTGAATCGGCCTGTAGGCGCATAGAGTTTGGTGGAATTTGTGTCTGTGTGAGAAGTGCATTCATGCAAATTGAAAGTAGTCATTGGAAGCATTTTATGCTAAAGCAATGATAAATGATCCACAGTTTAGCCCTCATAAACTGCTGTTGTGTTCACTTTTGACTTACTTACTACATGCTAAAAGTATTGAACTATCAATGATCCAGTAGGCTTTATAGGAATAAGAAGCTAACCCACTTTGTGTGTGTTTGCGCATTTGTGTGTTCCCGCAGACTGCGCCAGCCTGATGAAAAAGTGCGTACAGTGTCGGGCCGTGGTGGAGCGCCGCACTCCCTTCGTTTCGTGCTGTGGAGGGAAAGGTATGGAGGATGCCACTGATGATGAGGACCTTAGTGAGTGAACTTCCACACGTTCCCGTTTTTTAATTTCTCTTTCCTCTCTCTCTTCCTACGTTCTCATGTCTCTCTCATGTTTGATATTTACGTTGGCTTTGGTTGGTGCTTCTCTGTTTCTGTATCCACTCATTTCTCTCTCTCTCCATTGTTATGACTAATCTGTTATTTCCCAAATGTGTTTTCATGACTCCAATCAGACGCGTAGCCCCTCATCTTAATGTTTAATATCCACACCCAGGAATGAGCTTCGTAACTGCTCTGGAATGTCTTCGTAACATGCGCTGCGAGTTTCGAAGGATTTTTAGGAAGCCACTCCAAGCAGACGACTGAAAACGCATTCGTTTTTCACAGAAAGCATAGAATATTTCTATAATTGGACACGCCAAAGGGGCTATGCGAGATTTATTTTAGTCCCATCTTCCCATCTGATTCACTACTATTTGTTACAACATCATTCCTTTGTATGTGATCATGACACTGCCCATGTTTTTTATGTTGGTTTAGTTTGAGTTCAAAGGGATACTGGTGTAAGTTCACTTTTTTTCTTAGTGTTTATTTATAGAGAGGAGGATCTGTTTCTTTTTAGTCTCGCTTAGATGTCCAACACATTCATCCACGCTGACATCTCTGCTGACCCTCAGACATGCTGATCCACAAAAACACACACACACAGTCCAGTCAGCAGAGGAATGTAGCCTTTAGCTCTTATCTTGGTCTGTCTTTAGTGCCTGAGCTCTGTTTGTTGTAAGGCGCCACTTTTCCACACACACACACACACAAACCGAAGCAGCATCTCATATAGACCTAACACAGTCCGACCCCCCCCCCCCCTTTCATGTAGACGAAGCAATGAGAGAGAAATGCCACCATAGATGGGATTCTCTCCTGCTTCAGTCACTTTGAAGACTAAAGCACTTCAATCCCCACATACAAGAGGCTCCTCGCTCTAAAAGAGGACACGATAAACTGGCATCTGAAGGCTGTGGCCAATTACACGCCTAGAACTTTCATTTCCACCGAAGCGAAGTTGAATATGAACGCCGGAAACATCCACTAATCATGCTGTTAGACAGATTCTACATCATTTTTGGAAAGTAAGAGTGGGGGGACTGTGAAATGATCCAGTGTTGTTAGCCGACCCCTGAAGCCAAGAAATGTTTCTCACTTTGCCACCATTAATTTCCCATTTAGCGAATATCCATCTAATTTTTTCCAACTTGTCAGGCTCAAAATTAACCAGTCTGTCTTCTTTCACACTAATCCATCATAAAAATCTCCCTTTCGGGCCTCTCAACGCCCATGGTCTCTAAATCTTTTGCTATAAATGTTTTTCCATTGAATGAAAACCTTAAAATTAGGGATGCACCATATCATATTACTATTATTAGTGTATATATATATATATATATATACACACACACACATACACAGTATTGAAATTTAAATGTTTTTAACAATAGTAATATAGTATGTAAAATATATAAATAAATATATATATATATGATGTTAGAGTTTTAAATGTGCATGTTCATATCCCCCTATTTTTACATTTAGCTTACCTTTGCCATCATATAAATCTCGCTTAAAAATAACTTAATCTTCAGCAAATCTCTAAATAGTATTTAAGTGATTCAGATCATCAGCTCTTTAGGTGAGAGCTTCATGAACTGAGTGTGTCAGATAAGAGAGACATGTGAACTGTGTCGAACCGTGGGTCCCCAGGACCAGGATTGAAACACTGGTGTAGAATTTTCCATTTATTGATTATTATTGGATCTTATTCTCTCATCCTCTTGAAGTCCCAGGTGTATGTGACATACACAAAGATTGGTCCTACTTTTTATTGAGTGTCTACTAACATGTGTTACTAACATGTACTAACATTTAAATAATTTTAAAAAACACTATCAAAGCGTCCTTGTTACATGTACTTACCATAGTAATAACAGTAAATTATCAATAATTACAACCAATAATATAATAATAACACCTTAAAATTGTGATAACTAAAGATTTTATCCAATATTCGGTAATGCTTCCTTTTACAGTACAGTACTTACAGTGTACTTGCCTAGAAATAACTGGCTAATATATGGTAAGTACATGGATCAGGGTTAGTACTAGTTATTACCCACCAATTGTAGTTACTAAATTAAGTACATAGTATTTACATGGGTAACTGGACTGTAAAAGGAAGCGTTACCCAATATTCTTGTTGTGTAAATGCAAGTTTTTACATTGTACTTCTATCTTAAAAATGCCTGCATGCTGTTACATCTGTAGTTAATTTCTGTGATTGAATCTATAATTACAATGTTAACCCCCCAACAAAACTGTCCCATAGTTGTCCCATAGTTGTTAAAAACACCTAATATAAGTGTGACCCAAAGGTTTTTAGAAAAATAATCCATCTCTGAGTCCATATAATGCAAGTAGATGGGACCCTCAATGTTGACTCTTCAAAAATGATACAAAACAAACACAGTGGTAACCCATAGGAGCCCAGTGGCTAAATCAATGTCTTCTCAAGCAAAATGATAGTTGGGCGTGAGAAAAATACTAATATTAATATTCGGAACTTTTTAAAGCATTAACCATCACTTCTGGCCAACTGTTCTCTACGCTTCTGCGTCACTTCTCCTGCGAGCTTGGCCGGAAGTGATTGTTTAAAGTTTAAAATATTTGAATTTTCCAACACACCTATTTTTTGGCTTTAGAAAGCATTGATTCATCCACTAGGGTCATGTTCGATATTGGTTTTAAAGCTGTCCCATCCACTTGCATTATAAGAACTCACAGAGATGGATTATTTTTAGAAACATCTTCATATCCATCTGCCTAATGAACGTCATATACAGTATATCTGGGATAGCTTGAGGGTAAGCAAATAAGATCATTAAAATTGTTCTGTAGTATCCTTTTAACATGGAAGTAATTATCGACTATCAGGCCGAATTTTAATATCAGTGCATCCCTACTTAAAAGCTTTCTTTTATGATAGTGATTTTCGTCACTTCTGCTGAATTGCTGTGGAGGATAGTCCTTCAGCCATAATTGGATAGTTTGATGAACAAGCCCTCCCATGTGTCAAATACTTGCGTTAACTTGCTCTTCCCTTTGCTCCCTCTAATGAATATTTATAACTAGCGTATACCACAGGCCAGGCTGAATTGGCCCCTGAGCCAACAGCAGGGGTACGTGCAATACGTAACACTGTGGCTGGTTGCTTCTCAGCAGGGAGCTCTAACTCATTGGCAGGGGGGTCGCAGGATCTTCTCCAGCCCAACAATCTGGCACTAAGTTGGTGTAAGTATTCTATTAATCACCCCCAAGTTCTTCCTGCTTCCACTTCTTCCTGCTCCTTTGGGCTCAAAGTCCCTATCTCCACCCCAGCATACGCCATTCTCACTGGCCCACACTTTACCAATTAAAGTAGCCGTCAAGTTGGGACCATAAGCCTGCTTGCGGCCTGCTGCGATTCAGTGCTATGGGCTGATTTCACACCACAGTGCCCCATATACGCCATGTAAAGTATCAGAACAGGCACAAAACTTCTAGAATCAAGCTATTCCTCTGTAAAATGTGCCAAGTTAGAAGACTCTGTGGTCTGCAAATGCTGAGACCCATGGGTCCACTTTCACCAACTTCATGATTAAATGTTGACCCGTTGAAACTTTTCTCAATGGCCCCTGCTTTGCTTTTCAGCCAGTGGAAATATCCCGGCCTTGCAGAGGGACAAAGACAACACTAATGTCAATGCAGATGTACAGAAGTTACAGCAGCAACTGCAGGATATCAAAGAGCAGGTGAGCGTCGCAGTTTGAAGCGATTCACTTGTTTCCTTGATGCATCAACAACAAACCCTGCCATCTTTAGTTGTCAAGAAGTACTGACTTCGGTATCAAGTCGGTTCTGAAATTTAAAAAATGTGATATCATCATTTCCCTCTAGCATTTTGAGCACCGTGGAACTGATTCTTAAACGTTTCTTATTGGCCATTATGTTGACGTGCTCAACATATATGCCTATGATTGGCTACAATGATCATCAATGACGTCTTTGACGCACTTCAGAAAGCGCTTGCACGGATTCACACAGGAACGTTGAAAAGCAGCACATACGCTGATAGATGCAGCTTTCAAATGCTCCCGTGTGTATCTGTGTAAAGGCCAATTTATACTTCTGCGTAGGGTGCGCGCAGTAGGTACGGCGTAGCATACGCACAGACGCGTCCCATACCGCGTACCCTTCGCCGTCGCCTGACGCGCACCTCCTCAAAAATGTAACTACACGTCGCGACGACGCGGACCGCAAGATCGGTGATTGGTTGGCTTGGTAGCATCGCATTTCCTCCTACGCATTTCCGCACGTACCTTCTCACGCATTTCCACCACTGTCTATGATTTCCACAAGTTTCATCTCCTCCGAAGTCTTCTCTCATTTCTGCCTTTCAGTTTTAGTAATTTCACTAAAGTGAACTGTTTTTCCACCTTAATAAGCTCCAATTCCAACATGATCAGCTCTCTTTCACTCGTAGTAACCTAGCCGCGAGGAATCTAAACACAGTGGAACATTAAAACTCTCCGCCGCCAACTAGCGTTTCGGAGCAGTACTGCAGAGCAACCAAGACCTGAACGCAGAAGTATAAATGCTCACAACGGCGTCGCCTACGTGCGTAGCCAACGCCGTACACTACGGCGTACCCTCGACGCAGAAGTATAAATTGGCCTTAAAGCACAATGGCCAATCACAGACATGTATGTTGAGCACATCAACACAATGGCCAATCACAGACATACATGTTGAATGCATTAACACAATGGCCAATCACAGACATGCATGATGAGCATGTGAACACAATGGCCAATCAGAGACAGATATGTTGAGCACATCAACACAATGGCCAATCACAGACATGTATGTTGAGCGAGTCAACACAATGGCCAATCACAGACATGTATGTTGAGCACGTCAACACAATGGCCAATCACAGACATACATGTTGAATGCGTCAACAAAATGGCCAATCACAGACATCTATATTGAGCGTGTGAACACAATGGCCAATCACAGACATATATGTTGAGCGAGTCAACACAATGGCCAATCAGAGACATGTATGTTGAGCACGTCAACACAATGGCCAATCACAGATATGTATGTTGAGCACGTCAACACAATGGCCAATCACAGACATCTATATTGAGCGTGTGAACACAATGGCCAATCACAGACGTATATGTTGGGTGTGTGAACACAATGGCCAATCAGGGATGTTTAAGAATCCATTCAACAGCGCTCAGAATGCTAGAGGGAAACACTGGTATCACCACATTTTTAAAATTACTGACTTGGTACCAAAGTCGGTACTTTTGAAAACTCTTCTTTTAAATCATGAATTGTTTGTCGGTCGATAATCGGTTTAAAAGTCTAACCTTTAATGAATCGCAATCCGGTATTATTTTAACTTGTTTTTTTTTAAATATATAAACATTACATAGTTAGACGTGCCAAGTACAGTAACATTGACTTAATGGTATCGTTCACACTCTAATACGCACAGAATTGTAAAAAAATCCACCTAAAGTTTTAACGTTCCTACCATCTATGTCTCAAGTGAGAATGAACGTATGTCAGGTCTTAAAGTGACAGCAGCCTAATGCACCTGCTACTGTCAGTATTCTTAATGTTAATCAAACGACAAAAGAAAAACGTAATCACTGCTCTTGACTGAATTTGTAACTTTCTGTAAGTTCAATGAACACAGTGAGGACTATGCAGGCTTTTATTTTGCAGTTGATTATTTAATTTCAATTGTAAAATTTCACTTTCTCATATTATTTTCTGATCAACTTTTTTCCAGTAAAAAAATAATAATAATAATAACTCATTTAACATGTTTGCCTTCCACTTAGACCATGTGCCCCGTGTGTCTGGATCGCCTAAAAAACATGATCTTCATGTGCGGTCACGGCACTTGTCAGCTTTGCGGAGACCGAATGAGCGAGTGCCCCATCTGCCGCAAGGCCATCGAACGCCGCATCCTGCTTTACTAGAGCGCCGGGCCAGCGCAACCTCCCTGTTTCTCAGCCACAACTCTGTGCTGCTGCTGTCATAAGCACCTTTCCTGTATCCGCAAGGCTCTCCGTGTCTCACGCTAAGCTACGAGACATCAGTGTTACGCCATCCATCTTTATTTGATCTCTTAGCCTTCAATATCTGTCCGGTTTACTTCAGTTTTCTGTTTGCTTGGATTATGTTCACCAGGAGGAGAAAGAAACGTGCTTAACTACTCCCATCTTGCCATTTTATTCATGCAGGTGCCCGCGTTTTTCTGCCGCGAGTGGCTCAGCTCCACCTACAAGACATGAACTGACACTGTCAGGGTCTGCTAATGTTTCATGTTTTTTATTATGTCAGTGTATTATGCTTCTATATCCTGATGCAAACAGTTGAATCTACAGTATCTGCGCCGGTCATGAATTTAGGACACAAACTCACATGAACTCTCAAGAGTCCCACTGAAGCTTTGGAAATCTCATTTTTGTGTGACGTAGCGTTCAGTTCCAAATAACGTGTAAAAGCATCTGCGTTTACTTGTCCTGTCCGAACAGTGGAATTCACCTTTTTAGCAGTACTGTTAGTATAACATTGCATGTTCCTCTCTTGAATCGCTGCTGCACTTCAGTATATACACAGAGTATTATTGTCAAACCCATGGTGGTGATTGGCTCGTCATCCGATCAATACGAGAGAGTGCATGCTTTCCATGCAACTGATCCCTGTTGTCTTTAAAAGGACGTTCATTTACTTAACAAGCATTATTATTGGATTGTTCTCCAGCAGTCTTGCTTTATGCACCATATTGAACAGACAACAGAAACCGCCGGTCTCGTGCCATCGTTCCAAAAACATGAAGACGTTTCATTACCTTTTGGGAATAAGACGCTGTTTAACGATATACCTAGTTAATTTATGTATTTTTACCTTTTTCCACTGAATCTTGACGACTTGGAGTATACTATAGAATATCCACGCAAGCTATACATGTTAAATGGGGCCTTACTTTAATTAGGCCACGAGAAAGCCTGATCAAAAAGGATTTGTAGCGGAGGACTGTCCATCAATATAGTCTTTCATTGACAATTTTGGTCGTCTTTCTGTGCTTGTCAAAATATATTTTGAAGACCTGTATTCTCCCCGTTTCCTGTTCCCATCACGGACTTCTACTGTTATTTGATGTGGCATGTTTCATTACAGTGTGACTCAACACAGTTTTCCTGGAAGCAAAAGTAGTTTCATACTTTACCTTTTAAAGAGTTGTATCATTTTTTCACATATTTTGTGATCTTTTTTTTCAGTATCAGTCTCTTTGTGTCATTTTAACACTAAAAAGTAGATGCACTAATATACCTTAATGGTAGAATGGATTCGTCATGGTATTTTGTACCTTGTTTTCAGTACATTCAAAAACTGCCCTGGTTTAAACAAAACTTTTTTTTTTTTTTTTTAATGAACGAATGAATGTTTAATGTATGATGTACAACATTTATCATAGGAGAAATTCCTTTTGCCCTGTATTGAAATTTGCTTTGAAAATGCATTGCCGAATAAAGATCTAACAAAATGGAGCACGGTATTTTGCAAAAGATGTTGCACTTTTATCTTTAATTTTTTCTTCCACAAGACTCTAAATGTCAATTCAGTTGTCACCATCAAATTTGAATTTAATGGTAAACTTTTTTTTTATTCATTTTTTTTTTTATTTAAATACATCAGTCCTTCTTCCAAAACGTGTCTTTCTCTTGCCCAGATTTACTTTACAAGTGTTGTATATTTTAGACCTGTCAGGATGGTTTTGTTGGAAATTGCATGACATAACCATAAGATCTACTCTTCAGCACAATGGGGAACCATAAAGCCTTGAAATTCTTTTAAATGTTGAATGTAACTGGACATTAACAGAGCTTTTCCTTCACTAAAAAACACAAAAATAAATATAGCTGCGAGCAGCGATAACGGGCCCAAGTGGGTTATTTATGTATGTGTATTTTCTATATTTATGTGTGTGTGTGTGTGTGTGTATATATATATACACACACCCATACATATATATATATATATATATATATATATGCGTGTATAAATAAATATATGTATGCGTGCACACACGCATATATATATATATATATATATATATATATATACATACACACACACACACACACACACACACATATATTTATGGAGCAAGTTTTCGGACCCCATTCCAGTCGAGACCCCATGCCACGCCCGGGTACCATCTTTAGCCCGGCCCTGATGGCCACGGGTTCTATTTATGGAGCAAGTTTTCGGACCCCATTCCAGTCGAGACCCCCTGGAAAGAAGCAACACTCGTTATTTAACTTCTAAAATAAATAAAGTAGGCTACGTTCTGTGTTTGAAAACTGCGCTATGCAAAGGAGTTGACTTACTGCGCTAATCTGATTGGTTGTAGGTCTACCGACTATCCAATTGAGTACAGAGGTTGTTTTTTTTTTTCCTGGTTCGGTTAAGACATGCCTCATAATCAAAGCCTGAGCGGTTTCAGACTCATATACTCTCTTGAATATGAGTATGACGAAGTCAGGCTACCCTTTCAGGGCTTGGGCCCTAATAATTCATTTACATGTAGCCTACTCTCCTCATCCTGGCATATGCAAAGCATGCTGGGAACTAAAAATCCCCCGCCCATTTTCAGCCAATTCAACAAAAATCATTCCCGGAATCCTAAAACAAATGGATTGAGTGCATTTCTGTTTGAAATATATTGGATTGAACTCCATGAAATTAAGTTAGAACAAAATATATACCAGTTGTGTTGTTGTAGCTCATTTTAATTAAGTCATTTGAAGAAAGCAGCACAAATAAATATTTGTTGAACATAAGTTGCGATATATAGCTCGAGATTCATTGTAAACATGGGTTGTGAAGTGCCATTTCATTATGGCTGTTAGCGCTGCACTGGAATTTATTTTCAAGGAAGTGTCGTGTCTATTATTGGCGTATAGCTTTAGTATCGAAGATCTTTCTTCTGAAAACCTGCCGATCCTCGATTCTGGCATAGTATGTTAATAGTGATTTAGTGATAACATCTGAAATTGCATCTTGTTAATATCCCACATGCCATGCAAGTGTTTTAAGATTGGATTGAGAAAAGAGCTAAATGGAGTTGATTATAGAAATGGGTGTCAGTGGGGTGTGTTGGCCATCCTTCATCCTGACTGTGGCCTTTGCACCACAGAGTGTCTGTTTTGTTTAGGATGTGGAATGTGGTATTGACACCAGATTTAATCTGTACAAAAGTGATTAGTGAGCAAAAAAAGAATAAAAAGCCGCCGCTTATGCTTTGACTTTATTCCCAAAGCTGCGTTTATTTGATCAAAATACAGAAAAAAAGCTAGTAATATTATGAAATTTGAAATAACTTTTCTATTCAACTATATTTTAAAATTCAATATATTCCTGTGATCAAAGCTGTATTTTCAGCATCTTTACTCCATTTTTAAGAGTCACATGATCCTTCAGAAATCATTATGCTGATGCAGATTTGGTGTTAATCAGTTATTATTGGTGCTCGAGTTATAACATTTATTTCAATCAAGAGGTTGTAACGTCTGCAAGAGTTTTAAATCTGCCCAGATGAAGACAAGGAAAAAACAGTGGAAACGAACTGGTAACGTTAGTTCCACGAGTGATTTATTGCGGCCCTTCCCTAGTTAGGCACACTGTTCACATACATGTTGAAAGATGCCAACAGGGAAATTAACACTGCAAAACATCACAAAAACAAAGTGGAAGCAAAACACAATACAACAAAATAACAGCCAGCGATAGAGCGGTCATCTCTCTTCGCAACCGTCTTCACTCTACTGAGCGTGCGTGCGCGCTCACATTAACAGCACGCATACAATAACGTACGCAATAGACGTAGCTATCTTAAAGGCGTATTAACATGTCATGTCACCAACACTTTTCAACTTTAGGTGGCCGTTACAAGGTGCATACATTTTTTGCTTCAAATCTTGTATTGCCAATGCACTCTGTAAAGTCTCCTCCAACACAATCATTTTTTTCATAGTTTCAGCCTGATGAATCATGACATTGTCATTCTGGAATATGGCCGTGATGTGTTTCCCTATGGTTGTTAAAGAAATTAACAATATTGTGGAAAGTTTCCTCAGGCTACACATATTTCTCCACTCTTCCCTACATCTCAGTTTTGTGTGTTAGCAGAGACAGTGTAGATTAGGAGATTTAGGAAGCAGTTATCTTCTCAGCCGTCACAGGCCTTCAGCTTGTGAGAGAGGGAGACGGAGTGAACGCCGGGTATCAGACGTAGACGGAGTCTCCCGCTGAGAGTGACTGACACCAGGCTGTGGGGTACGAGAGCCAGATAGATGACTGCTTTATCTTTACAGAGATCACACCTCTGCTAGAGACAGCTAGCACAGAGAGAGGTGTTGCTGTGATTGATTGTGATCCCAAAGTGAAAGTATGAGAAACCACCACAAGGGGGCAGCGCCTGCTCTTGACACACGCCAGAGCATTGCCTGAGGAGATTGGCACTGACATGTAGGATGAATCCGAAATAGTCTCTCTCGAGTTACTTATTTTCAACAAGTAATTGCATTGCGACCGGTAAAATAGTAAAATAAATAAAAATCTGGACACACTACGTCCGCCATGTTATTATCATGTGACATTCCAGCGTCAGTTCATCATCTCCTGTGGCCTCATGGGACAGTAAAGTGTCTATCATAGGCACACTTCAGAATTTCTCTAGATGAAAAAAACACCACCTGTATACTTTTTGCGTATTATTTTATGATTACTGTGAATTCTGTCATACTTCGTTTGTCACATACTGTTTTTCGTCTATATGTGATTTCGTAAATGCAGATACCACTTCAAAATTAAAACGGTGAAAATTAAAAATTATTTCCATTAGGCTACATGAAGTTTTAACATGTACTCTTTGTGTAATGGAAATAATTTTTTCAGCTGCCTTAAATGATTTTGATGCTAAAGATTTCTTATTATCAATGTTGAATATTATGCCAGCTAAATATTTTTGTGGAAACTGAGATACTTTTTTTCAGGATTTTGTTTTTATGATGAAAGAAAAATGTTTTTATAGATGTCTTATACCTTTGATCAATTAAATGCATCATTCCTGAGTAAAAATGTATTTATTAATTTAAGAAATACTGACTCAAAAAATAAAATAAACAAATAAACAAATAAATAAACATTCTTTATTAACACCAATCGTTCCGTCCGTGGAGAACCTTTACATGCTGCCTTTCCATTGGACAAAAGGTTCTTTAGATTATTACTATACTTCACACAAAATAACCCTGAAAAGTTATTTTGGGAGACCAAAATGTTTTTATGTCCCTTTTAGGACCTATTTTATGTGAAAGCAACTTCTTAAAATATGTCAGTGCCATTGTTTTGTCTCAAGATCCACACCAGTCATGTTTTCTAAATAAAATATAAAAAAAACATGCTAAGGGAAAAAAATTAATTAACAGAAAGTTTCTGTACTATACAGTGAATAAGTGAATTTCCAAAAAGACATTTTGGAAGTAAAAAAAAAAAAAAATGTCAGAATGTCAAATTTACAGTAACAAACCATTATTTGACATTCCCACAATTCCCTGCGTGACACTTAACATTTGATCTATTTTTATTGAAATAACTTAATGGCTTCAAGTTCTTCAATATATTATTTTCTAATCAGTATATACATTAAGGTTATAGGTTACATTTAATGTTGTTATATTGTTTATTGCATTTAAATGTCATTTGTGTACTGTTTGTGTGAATGACACGGCAGCTTCTATAATTAGTACTTGTTCATGATGAATCATCATGACTCATCACCACCATTAGGTGTCTCTCAGTGTATATTAATATTACAAAACAAATACTAATACTTATAAAGGTCATTTAATTTACAGTTTTTTTAATGTAAAATTAAGTCTTTCTACTTGTAAATTTCTGGCAACCACAGCTGCAGTTTTTTTTTTTTTACCGTAAATTATTACTTTTTTTTTTTTTTTTTACAGTGACGATGTACAAAGTATACAAGAAAATGTCATGCAGACATAATGTAACACATTTTTTTATGATACCGTTTAATTCCTGACACTGTAAAAAATGTTTTCAAGATTTGTTATTACAACATATTTTCTTTTGTCAAATCAACTTTATAATAATTTATTTAGTTGAGATAACTTGCTATTTTGAGTTTCTGATGATTAAATCATTCTCCTTCATTGTATTAACTCACTTTTTTCCAGTTCAATCAACTTAAAATTTTAAGGCAACCCAGGTTACTTACTTTTTTAATTTAAACCAACAATATTTTTTTACAGTGTAGTTATCACAACATATTTTCTTTTGTCAAATCAACTTAAATCATTTATTTAGTTCAGATAACATATAATTTTGAGTTTCTGATGATTAAATCATTCTCCTTCATTGTATTAACTCACTTTTTCCAGTTCAATGAACTTAAAATTTTAAGGCAACCAGGTTACTTACTTTTTTAAGTTAAACCTACAATATTTTTTTACAGTGCATAGAAACCAA